TCCTTCCTGGTCCAAGTATAGGTTTCACATGAGTACAATCAAGTGTTCTGGAATGCTCATTCTTCTCAAGTTTTAGCCACAATTTGTTGTGATCTACACAGTCATTGCCTTTGTAGAGTCAATGAAATACAGATAGGCATTCCTCTAGTACCCTTTGCTTTCAGCCAATATCCAACATTGGCGATAATTTTTCTAGTGCAACAGCCTCATATAAACCCCGTTTGCATTTCTGGTTGTTGTTGTTATGTGCCATAGAGTCAACAACTCTGAACCTTTCTGTATCTTGAGCCAACATCATTGCCTCTGACACACATACACACAATTACCAGTTACTGTGTCAATCCATCTCATCCAGGGTCATCTCTCGTGCCATCTCTCTACCTTTCAAGCATGATGTCCCTCTCCTAGGACTGGTCTCTCTTGGCAACATTCCCAAAGTGTATCAGACAAAGCTTCAAAATCCTTGACTCCAAGGAGCAGCCTAGTTTCACCCTCTCTAGGTCAAACCTGTTTATTCTCCTAGCATTCCATGGTATGTATATTCAATACTCTTCTCCAGATCCACACTTAAAGACAACAATTCTTCATCTATCATCCTTTTTCATTGTCCAGTTCTCTGATCATAAAACCATAGCCTGATGAGGCACACCGTAGTCTCTAGACTGATGTCATTGTTCTTCAGTACTCTGGAGAGGTCTATGACAACAGATTTTCCCAGTGCAATATGTCTTTTGATTTCTTGACTGCTGGCATCAAGTATGTTGATTGTGAAGTCAAGCAAGCTCAACCCCTCAATTCCTAGAGTATTGTTTTTTTGCCAATTCCTTCTGAAATTCTTTTGTGTCAGCCAATTCTTTTTTTTTTGTCAAGTGACTTTGTCTACTCCTTCTATCTTCTTCTGATGCTTTCTGAGTCATTGAACATTCTGCCCACAGCAACCTTAAGTATTTTTTTTAGTTCTTTGTTAATGTACTATTCCAGTTGTTTTGGAGTAATCTTCAGTAGGATTTTGATTGTGTGTATTACTAGTAATATTGTTTGATAATTTCCACACTCTGTTGGATCACCTTTTTTGGGGGGATAGGAATAAATATGGATATATTTCAGTCAGTTAGCGAGGTAGTTGTCCTCCAGATTTCTTGGCACAACTTGGTGAGCATGTCCAGGTCCAGGGCGGCATCTGTTTTTATACCTTAATTTTACAACCTGATTTGAAGTAAACGAGTATTGTCATTAAACACAGGAAAAGAGAAGGGAGCGCTAATGGTCTAATGGGTAACCACTGTACTGCCAACCCAAAGGCAGGTGGTTCAAATCCACCAACTGTTCTGCAGGAGAAAAAGAAGCAATCTCCTCTTATGTGATTTCTGAAAACCCACTGGTCTAATTGCTTTCATTTATTAGGGAGCTCTGGTGGCCTAGTGGCAAGCCGTTGTGCTGTAATCCCGAAGACACGTTCAAATCCACCAGATACTCCACTGGAGAAAGAAGGACAATCACCTCTTCTGCTAGTTGGATCTGACATAAAGGTACACAACAAGAAAAGACAAACAAACAAACAACAACCAGGAACAGATACACAAAAATCCACATGACTGTAGAAATATAGGTTTGTGAAAGTGATATAAAACCTTTTTTTTCCTTCTGGGCAGAATTGTTTTATTTAACATACAATGAAAGGGCATACACAAAAAAATCATGAATCAAAAATTCAGGAAGGCTTGGTAGTCTTCTCACTTGAGGTTGTCAACAATAAAATCCAAAGATGTGATTATACTCATTGTTAGGAAACTATGTGAGTCAATATATGATTACAGTTTAGAAAATGCAAATCAAAACCACAATAATATACCACTTCACATCCACTAGGATGGTTATGATTAAAATAAAGGGGGAAACCCAGCAAATGTTGAAGATGTTGTGGAGAAATTGGAACCCTCATATGTTTTTCATGGAAATATAATATGGTACAGCCATTATGAAAAACAATATGAATGTAATTAAAAGTTAAATGAAGAATTGTCTGTGATTCAGTAATTTATATAATCAAGAGAGCTTAAAATAAGTATTTAAACAATTATGGGACACATAATGTTCATATTAGTACTGTTCATAACAGCCAAGGTATAATCTAATCAACTCAACTTATTGCCATGGATTTGTAAGCAATTCATTGTTGACCCTTCAATGGGTTTTTAGAGAATGTAAATTACACTGAGAAATGAAATTGGATGAGATTGTCCATCCTTCTCCTGCAGAGCAATTGGTGGATTCAAAGAAATTTCCTTTACGTTGGCAGCTTAACTCTTTACCCTCTAGGTCACCAGAGCTCCTAAAGTGTATTAGCAACTAAAATTTTCATCGAATAATGAATAGATGAGCAAACTATGGTATGCCATCAAGTCTATAACTCTTATAGATATTTTGAACAACAGATCTGACCCTTGCCAATGTCATAATCTCTATCATACTTAAGTTTGTTGTGGTCGATGTGGTCAATCCACCTTGCCAATACATCTCTTTGAGAATTTTCTTCTTCTTCACTAACCTTCTACTTTTCCTAGTCTATCTATTTCAAGGAATGACCCTTCCTAACAATATGCCCAAAGTATTTTAAACAATGCTTCACCTTCCCTGCCTCTAAGAAGCACTCTGGTTGCACTTCCTCCAAGATAGAGTTGTTGTTTTTGTTTTAATTCAAGCAATTAATGAGAAGCATTGAGGACTCTCCTTCATAGGGTCGCTGTGAGTCACCTGCGACTCGACAGCACTTAACAACAATAACATCAACATAGAGATATCAGCTGGCCCAGTGGACAGAAAGAGATGCTTCCAAGCCAAAGGTGGGTGACTTTTAATCCTAGGCCCTTGGGCCTGTCTTTCATTGTTTTTGTTCAGACATTCCTCTAGGTCGTATAGCCCTGATGTACAAGCTGCCATACAGCGGTCACTTGTGATTGCTGTGATGCTGAACACTGTGACACTGATGTGTCAAATGTGTTAATGGTTGGTTGCCCAATGTGGACAGATAGTGGGGTGGAGCTCCCCAATTAAAACAAGCTTGGAAGGAGGAATGGCATCCACTTCCATAAGAGCTTGCTTCTGGAAACCCTATGAACCTGGAGAGAGGATGAAAGGCACCCAAGCATCGAGGACTCTCCTTCATAGGGTCGCTATGAGTTGCCTGCGACTTGATGGCACTTAACAACAACGACAACAAAAATTAATGGGATATTCAGTACTCATTTCCAACACAATAATTTAAAGGCACCAATTCTCCTGTTTTCCTTTCTCATTGTTCAACTTTCAGATTCATAAGAAGCAACTGAAAAGAACATGGTTTGCATCAAACACACCTTAGTATTTAAACTGACATCTTTGTTTAGCACTTTGAAGAGACTGTTGACAGCTTTTCTCAGAGAAATAAGTCTTTTGATTTCTTAACTGTTACTACATTGGGTGTTGATTATAGATCCAAAAAAAATGAAAATATGGCATACAATATATAAACATGTTCATGGCATTCATCATTAAAAAGAATGAAGTACTTAATGGGAGATGCTGGAGGGCATTATACTGAGTGAAATAACACATTTTATTAAGGCCAAACGCTACATAAAACCATTATTGTAAAAAAAGGATAACTACTAAAATACATATGGGAACTCAAGGAGCAGGGAGGGGGAGAAATAGAGGGGTGAGGATAGGTAGGGGTGAAACCATAGGGTTACACAGCTTGTGGGTAGAGAGAAGGGGGAAGTAAATGCGAATAATCTCGGTGAAAAGACAGGGTAATTACAGTCAAGGTTCAATGGTGATTAATTTTCTAAGACACAATGTCAAGGACGCTTGATAGTGCTCACATGAAACCTCTACTTAGACCAGGAAGCAGTCTTCTGAACAGAGCAGGGAATCACTGCATGGTTCAAAATCAGGAGGGGAGTGTCAGGGATTTGTCCTGTCTCCATATCTTTTCAATCTACAATGCAGAACAGATCTTTCAAGAGACTGGCTGGGCTTTATGAGGAGGAATGTGGCATCAGGATTGGTGGAAGACTCATCAACAACCTACATTATGCAGATGACACAACCTTACTTGCTCAAACTAAAAAGGACCTGAAGCACTTGCTGAAGAAGGTCAAAGACAATAGTCTTCAATATGGATTGAAGCTCAACATCAGGAAGACAAAGTTTTTCACAAGTGGGCCAATTGCAGCACCATGATAGATGAAAAAGAGATTGAAGTTGTTAACAATTACAGCTATTTTGTTCCACAATTAACACTCTTGGCACTGTCAGGGACCTTTCCAGAATACAGAGAAGCAACTATATCAGTACAGAGACTAAAGTGTACCTGATTCAGGCCCTGGTCTTTCATGTTTACTTGCTATGCATCTGAGAGCTGGATAATGAGTAAGGATAACAGAAGAAAAATTGATGTCTCTGAGTTCTGGTGGTGGACAAGAGTCTTGAACATACCATGGACCACCAAGAAACAAATAGGTCTGTCTTGAAGAGGGTGAGCTCCTTCTCACATACTTTGGGCATGTGGCCAGTATCCTTGAAGAAAGACATCATGCTCAGAAGGGTGGAGGGACAGCTAAGGAAAGGAAGACCCCGGCTGGATGAGATGAATGGATATAACATCTGGGGCAATGGGGGTGGATACATGGGAGTCAGTGAAAGTGGCTAAGGACATGACAGAGTTCAGAGCTGTTGTAGCAAGTGTTGTTACTATGAGAGGCAGGTGACTCAATGACACATAACAACAACAACAATGCATGAGAATGATGGTATGAAACAATGTAAATGAAGATTAGTGTGGAACACAATGAACTTTTTAAGGAAACTGATTTTAAAAATCCTTATTATATAGCCTCTGATTCCGCCCGCG